GGCTGAGAATAGGTGTTCTGAACTTAACGGGCAGTGCTAGGCAGGAAGAAGACCGAGGAAAAATACCGATAAGAACCTTAGACTGCTCGTATGGAGTTATGCGTCATTGGTCCAGTCGGTAAGCCACTGTTCTGTAATAGGCGGCATCATTACGTTATATATTAACAAGGTACAAGGCCGCAAGTTATAACAGTTGGCCGAACGTACCTACAACCCATTGTTCATGTTCACATGGGGACTACAATCAGAAGGTCAATGGGTGATACAATAGGAGTTTGAGATGAAAGTTAGTAAGTTGGTTCAAGTTATAGCGAAAGTGTAAACTGTTCATTATTCTGCAATACTAGACGTAGTAAACGTTTGAAATTAACTAAATACACAGATTACTCTATCTTACCATGGTTATTTAGTTATATTTCCAAATGTCCATCACATTTCTTATCAGCCTAAACCAACTAGTCAAATGATATGTTCAAACAATTTCTTAAAATAGTCCAACAAAAAAATCATTTTGTTCTTTGTGAATCTTGAAGTTGAATAATTTTGTGTTACAGTAATTAACTACTGAAATCAAAAATCAGTAGCTGTCGATAAGAAACTTATCATTAAAGAGGATAAATAGTTAAAACAAGGGGTTTTGTAGAGATTTAGCATTTTTATAGTTGAAAGCGTGAATCAATTGAAGCTAGACCACCAGGGAAAACCTGGAAGCACTGGAGGCACAATAGGATGAAACGGCCGTTCAGTACTTCCAGATAAATAATTAGTTTCCATCGGATGACAACATGCCTAGTCTTTCCATTTACATAAGAATTCCATACATATAATGCCTTTATTAGTTTTCTCTTGTTAATGATAATTCACGAATTCATTCTGTTTCATTGTAGAAATGATATTCTATATAATCAGTCGGAAGATTGATTTCACTTATCATTTTGGAATTTATCAACAACCAGTAGTATTCAATTCAGTTAGTATTGTTTGCTTTTATCTTCCTATTGTTGTTTAGGACTGCAATTGATCAGTCTTTGCTTATAAAGCTTGTGACTTAAGGTAGTATTTAGTCATTCTTCATAGGATGCATATATGCTAACAAGAGACTCATCAACTGCAGTCCTAAACAACAATTAGAAGATACTTGCAAACAACACCAAGTGAATTTAAACTTCATCCCGTTTTACAAGAAGGTGGCTATCAGGATTCAGTAGCTAAGTGGATCATGTGATGGTTTTTAAAACGAACGGTATTGGATTCGAGTCACAGAACGGACATCAACTCTGAGATGCAGGCACATCTATCTGACGAGTCCCAAACAGGACAAAACGCGCGTCCTGGATTCCACTGCTAACCACTATCCATCTTTACTTATAAACAAACTAACAGTTTATTGGTCAATGATTCTATCTTTAGAAATATATTTATTTGAAGACTAGTTACTAGTTACCTGAAAGAACTCTCAATCATTCTTATACATCATTACTGAGTCAGCTTTTTAGACGATAAACAATTTACAATGAGTTTACACGCCGAAGTACTGTAACAATCTGTAAATGTAAATGTGGATCCTATAACAATCCCAAGAGGAAACGAACTACAAATACATGAGGAAGTATAACTAAAATAGGCCTCTATATACAATGTTATGTGGAGTGAAAATAGGGACGGCTAAATCAAGACATGGTATAGATTTTTCAGTATGACTGAAATCAATATTACTTTGGCTACATTGTAACACGTATTATTAACTTTCATCTCATTGCACCAATTTGATGTTAAGTTCTGGAGGGATATACATTTGTACTATTGTAGTGAACAAGAACATGGGACACGGAAATTACAGACTATCTCACCAAAATCTGATAACCATACAGTAAATAGTTAATTTGTAAAATAACAATCAATTGTGTCAATCTTGACTGTTCCTTCTGAAAATATCAGTTCATCTTTTCTGATTTCATTGTTCATGCATTTTTATACCGATTGCACTTCGTTACTGTTTTTTCCTTATCCATTTTCTGCTGAAATACATTCTATGCCTGACCATCACCATATACTACTTATGTGGATATAAGTAACCCACAGACACTATATCCCATCTTGATTATGACTGAATTATTGTTTCTTAGTACTGAGGAAAAATTTTTAGGACGTAACCAAGTGTTTCTTATTCGATTCTATAATTGACTGTATATTGGATATACAGACTGAACTGTTTTTATATATAATTGCTAGGAGCTATATCAACTCATTTGTTTACATTATATATTTTGGCATTCGAACTAACCGATAATTCCCCTTTACTTGGTTACGCGTTCATTATGAGTTACAAATATAACACACTTATTTATGCTCATTGTTCTACCTGATTTAAACTGGATTATTTTGGGAATTCTTAGTGTTGTATCCCGTGGAGAATTATGAATGGTAACTTTGAGAACTATCTATGGACCAATGTGATATATATATTTCCTATTGTATAGTTGTTAACTAACTAAAATATTCATAGTCGTGCCCCTCTTATTATGAGCTTTATTTTGACCCATAGACTATTATAATACGATTCACCATTCTTTAGTTATCCCCAGTCTTTTGATTACTGTTCCCCCTATTCACAGCCACATTTGGCCAAATCTTGTACAAAGGTTATTTTCTATTTTATAGAACGATGTGGTCACTTTGTGTGGTATACAAACCCAGTATGTTTGTGAATAATGATTCATATTGCAGAGACTATTATTGGTGTTCTGGACTTAACTGACTGGGCTAGGCAGATAGAAGGACTGGCAAGTACTCAAGACTGCTCATACGACTTTGTGTATCATAAAGCGATCGATAAATGACTGCTCTCTAATTGGCAGTTCATATACTAAACAGGGCATTCAAGCAAACGATATAACACTTATCACATTGATTTGAATACTTCTAATCATCACATATATATACATATAATGTTTAGAAAAACCTTGATAGCCTGTTTACATTTCTTTGATATCGCCTGCACTTAATAATTAAGCCTCTAAAACATTAAAACAATATAGTTCTGTGCAGAATTTTACGAGTTTGTTGGTCACTAAATATGATGTGTGACTTATATTTGCGATTAAATGCAAAACAGTTTAGTGATGATTCTGTTTATATTAGAAACTATAAAGTTGTCATACATATATTCGATATATTTTCACAATTTATTGTGATTTCTGAAGAGTTCTACTTCAAGAGTTTGGGTCTGTTAGCAAATATGGAAACAATTTATTACAATCGTGTAAGTTCTAATTCTGTAGAAGTTATATTCATGTTGATTCGTAAAGGATTTCTTAAAATGGTCAGTTTAATAGGTAGTCAACACCTGCCCCAAAACCTGTTGTTTCCAAATAAGCCAAACTGTTTGGAGCAGCATAGTACACCATTAGTTTGGTTACGTCTCTCACAGGGTACACATTACGGCTCTTTACTTTGATAGATCAAAGGCTTTGCTTCCGGCAGCTAACTATAGGTTGGTTAAGATCCATGTCATTAGAATCCGTCAGAACGGTGTTTTGAAACTACTAGCCATAAAAAGATCTGTGGTTTATGTATAAACCAATGAATCTTTTGTACTTGATCCGTGTATGACTTCGAATTCTTAATCCTATGCGCTTGTTTGTGCTCACGCAACTCCATTTGGACTAAATTGCAATGTTTTGGAAATTCCTAGTTAATACAATAGTTTAAATACATCTAATTATCATGAAATCGTAAATCAGAACTAGCTTCTGGACATCTACGAATTTGTGATAATAAAATTTAAAAATAAACACCCCCTGGTATCCAAAATGGCAACCATAACATCAACATTATTTTTACAACACAACTGTAAATCTTCATACCATCTAAGTTGGGAAGGAAAGCATGAAATCTTCTAATACAATAAAGTTATGGACTTATAATGAAGAACACTGAGAAAATTTAAAGGTGATCCATTTTAAAACCAAGTAAATATGAATACCGTCAACGATCAGTTTTAATCTATCTATATTTGTTCTCTTAGTTATGGTGGAATACACAAACTGTAGCATCATGTTCTAAAATTTCTAAACCCCATAAATCGTGAAAATGTAGTTCTAACAGGAACTTCTCAAGGTTGGTCTTCCTTGAAGTTAAAGGCAGACATAATAGTTTATTAAACATCAGAAAATAATTTATGCGTTTCATTTCATCGTGTTATCTGGTAACCATTGAACCCTAAATTAAAATTTTCGAATTGTAATCGTATGCTAGCCCTAGTTCCCATCATTCGTAAGGGAACTATTGCTCCCTATATTGCTAAAGACTAAAATAATCAGTGACACAGTTTGACTGTCCTATTCGTCACTTGACTCATATGTATCGCTTTCTTCAGACTAATTTATCCCGATTTATGTTTGATAGTGGCAGTGCTAATAAGTAATTATTTGTGCATCGCTATTCTACTTACTACAGCGTATAGTTGAATTAAATTTCTGTTTTAAGTGGCTAAAAATGAAGGATACAAGTAGTTTCACGTACAAAACCGTAAATTTTCGATTGTAAGTAGTATCGTATTCTAAATCACATACCTACAGAGAGTGAGGAAAAATATTGCAAAACAAAAAGAGAGAGAAATTTGTAGGTGCAAGTAGAAACTGTAAATGCACCTTTCTGGAAATCACAGTATTTCTGATACATATTTGAGGATAAGTTGTTGCAGAGTTCAAATGTAGAAAAAATGGTGTGGTTTCCTCAAAATAGTAAGTGCGGAAAAATCAGTACACCAGACAGTGTGAGTATTTGTGCAACACTTTTATGTAAACATTTTTAATTATAAATGTTTGATACGGCATTTATTTGGCAACGTATATATAGTCGTATCCTTCCAAGAGGTTGATGTCTTTTTCTATGTCTTCCATTTCTTTTTCAAGCCATAATTTGTGATGCATTTTTGGAGGCGTATCGATCATAACGGATAAAGACTGATATTGTCTATATCTTTGCTGCCACTTGTCTTTCAGTTGATCAATTAAAGACTAAGTTGATACAAAGTCACGAAAACCGATAAATAGTCTAACCTTTTTCTCATCTTTTGTGATAACTGTCAAAGCATTCTTTTCCTTAAGTTGCTTAATGTACTCTTCATAATTCTTTTGGGCTTCAGCAGCTGCTTTCTCACGCTCAGAGAGGTATTTCGGCAATTCCCCAAAGTCCTGTATTCACTTGAAGTTAGTGAATAATGAGAGCTCACCTTACGCTTAATATAAATTGGCTCAAGACCAGAAAACTTGATATCAAACTTATGACCTGTCCTCGTATCTACCACAAATGGTTTGGGCTTTGAAGGCACTGACGCTTCGATCATCTTTATATTCTTTTTGATAAAATCTTTGCATGATACGACGTTCAGTGATTTAGATTTTAGAGATGGTAGAGGTTCTTTTTTAGCTGAAAGGCTGCATTTATAATAACTGCCTGTATATTTATAAAAGATGAACCAACAAATTAAGATACCCTTCAACAGCTCATCTTTCTTTCTAAATAATTCAGGTGCTGAGTGTCTCATCTTGAGATAGCATTGCGGATTTGGTGGATTAACTTTTGGTAATCCCATAGTTTTACAAGGAAACTTTTTAATGTTGAATAAGGATATTACTTCTCTCTGGCTGCATGATTTATACCTAAAGTTAATATGGTTATAATAAAACAAAATTACCTTGGTAAGGAAGCTTTAGGCGGCTGTTCCAACGGTATCAAATTATATATGCTTTCTCTCATTGAAAAAGACTGTTTTAAAAAGTGCGCGTTATTATTGTCATAGTGCTAATAACATGTACAAGGTTTCTGGTACTGACCATTATGAACCATTTGTTTCTCCGTTATGCGCTCAAGTGTCAGAAAACGAATTAAATCTATTAGTGGCATCCATTGTGGAATCCACTTACTTTACATCAATACATCCATACAAGAGCTTGATTATTTTCAGGTCATTAGTGGCATCCGTCACATTGCAGTGATACTGCTGGATCTAGAAACCAGAATCTCATCAAACATCTGTTTGATTCATAACATTAAAAGTTGAAAAACTGGAACTCAACCAATGATAAAGAATGAGAGAGCCAAAGTCAATGAGGGGATGCAAATAAAATTAGATCAATAAGTAGGTGGGAATAATACAAAGTAAGATCATTTGAAACAGAAAGACCAAAAAGAAAAACAGAATATAAAATAATCCTCGTATACATACGTGTGCCTATGTCTGCGCATGGAAAATCCCTTATGTACGCATTTCACTTGACATTAACTCTTAGTTTCACTTTAATTGTAAAGTAAGTATTCTTGATACTTTCATTCTTGCGTATTCTGTTGATATTTTGGCTTCAACAGCAATTAAACGTATTTATTTCACCTGTAATTTTCAACACAACCACCATCCGTTCGTCATGCACCATTCCAAAGACAGTCTTTGTATAATTTTTCCCAAATACTTCACTTTGTGGGGCCCATCCATAGCGCATCTTTGAGTTTAAATGTTGCTGCTGAAAATGGTTGGATTGACCTGTCGTTTGACGATAGAATTAAATCCCTAATTTGCCTTGGATGTTTTAACTCTTTAAACAGGTTATCGGATATGTATTTCTAAACTAATAATCTTGTGGTTTGTTAGTACAGAGTAACGTTCTCCTCATGGAAGGAAATCCTTGCTCTTTTATCACTTGGCTATACTAAGTCTCTCACGTATGGATCTGTCTATCATTAATATGTAGGGGAAAAGTCGTCTCGACCCGGGTTTGAGCACTGACATAGTTGGCTAATTAGCTCAAACTCAAGGCCAGAAATACGTGAGTCTGAGTTAAGAATAACGGCCCTGGTCAACGAGGGAAAGTGAGCACGAAGGCGAATCAACGGAAATAATACTTGCTTATTCATGATTTCGAATTAGTGTAATCAACTGTTGTTTGAGAACAAATTATTATTATTAAAAAGATGTACGAATGAATAAATAAGGCTACCACAAAGCTCAAACAATTTGAAAAATACAATTGTGTCCAAACTAGGCATTAGGATAAAAAAAAGTTGTACAAAAAGCTACATTTGAATTGCAATGGCTTTGAAAGTGAAAAGGATATGGCAGTGAATCATATATCAAACGCATGCTTAAGCTTTGTAGGAATAATCGTGGACAGAACTAGACATTATTATTTTAAAAACTTTGAATAGAGTCAAATGATGTTCTCATTATCAGCTTCCGTTGCTTGTCATGACTTCCTCACTTGTCTGTTCACATCATCTTCCCATTTGACAAAAAGGTTATAACTATCATTCTTCATGGTGCATACGTCAGGGAAAATGACAAGCGCTGTGATCCTTGTAAAACGTGACCAATCTAGATAACTGGAATAAATAAAGAAAGATAACTGGTCACTCATTGGAAGCAACAGATTAGATACAATCATCGACATCTCCCTCTGGGAACGTTCTACTCTCCCCTTTTGGAGTCTATCTAGAGAAACTCTAATCTTCTACGTTTCCTAAATAAATTTCACATAAGGTCCTGTTCTCATTCTAAAGTCATCTTAGTCGCTGAGCCCCCTTTAAACCAAAACCGCCTGAGATTTTCCATACAGGCTTACTTTTTCCGTTTTCTGTGACGTCTTAGTATTTCCCGGTATTTGGTTTGCATGACGTATAGGCTGGAATATTCATATATCACTCCTAACAAATTTCGTTCAAAAAGAAGTTTCCTCCGTTTATTTATAACTGCTATTCTCTTCTGCTCCTTGTTGTTATAGCCCTAACATCTCACTGTGAGAGGGGAAGATAGCTCTATACAACTGAGTCTTCGTTCTCAGAAGATAATACATTTTGTATCGTAATAGCCAGAACTTTTCAGCACATAGCAAAACATAAAACAATAAAACCGAGAGCAAATAGTTCGATAACAAGATTTAGTAGTCACAATTGTAGTGAACGAAAGCTAAGGAATCATATGACTACAGAATTATGCAGCATATTGACCTCCTGAAATTTCTTCATTTCACTTCAGCCAGATGTTTTTTAGCTGGCGTCCTGTCCGTCTCCTTAAAAGCTATGCCTTATCAGATTCTCGCGACTTATAATCTTTGTTACCTTGGACTTTTGACAAACCATCTGGATAAAAGTAAAAAACACCGAGTACATTTGCACAGGGTTTATCTGCTTGATCCTTAATGATGGTTATATGTAATTGACGTAGCAACGTTTTTTATCTACAGATGCCTTTAGAATAAATTTTCTATGTTGACCCACCACGAAACTCTTCATCCACAACTTATTCTTCGATCTATATTCGTACCCAGGAATTGGAGTCATAGACGTATATAAGCTATCTTTAAAGTTCCGATAATGTAATAAGAAGACGAAGATTATCAGAACTGTGTGATATATTAGCACAATACATGTCGAACAATCTGATCACACATATACTTGTTAAGAACATTTATATATAAAAATAAAAGGTCATCTAGACTGGTAATAAGGTTAAGAAATAGATAAGGATAATAATGATAAAATAATGTGAAAACAACTTGACACCTAATCACTCTGGATAATAAGCACTTATTACCAGGGTAGGTTTAAAGAGAGAACAAACTGTTTTTGAATACACAAAGGGGGTTTGAATTTTCGTATGGCTAAGGCTTCAATAAACCTCAGTATACGCCCTTTTACACTTTTAAACAACACAACAAAAGCTGAGTTAAGATCAATCTTATGACCTGTTTCGATTATATGTTTAGCAACAGAGGATGATGGATGTTTATCCTCTACTCTTATTGGGTCATTCTACTGTATTTGTTTTTGCAACCATTTTGGTGCATGTTCACCCACCCTAATTTTCAGATCACGATTGCTCCTCCTTATGTATGTGTGACCACACACACATTTAAATTGGTAAACGCAGTGGGATGTGACACAATCGTTTTCATGTCGTCTAGGCTTTGAATGAAGCATGGGACTTGTTCTTTCTTTGATCATGACCTTTGCTGCACAATATGTTTTGTTGATGACTGATTTAAGCCTTTGTTTCAATAAAAGGCTATTTGAATCACCTCTAAATGGTAAGGTGGTGTAAACAGGCTTTTTCTCTACCAAGGCTACAGCAGGTCTCGCTGTGCCCATAACTTTCCATCTATTGATAAATTTAGGTGGATAATCATTCCATGGTTAACAACTTAACATCGTCATCAATAGCGTTGTTTGTGCAAATACGACGAAGCCTGTTAAAAAGGCACTTTACCAAACCACGTTTGTATTGCACAGGGCAATAACTATAGTAACTAAGATATTGACCCGTCCACGTCGGTTTTCGAAAAATGGATCGTTTTATTGAGCCATATTCTCGTCTGTTTAGAAGTACATCTAGGAAGGGGAGTTGGTCGTTCTTCTCCTCTTCGCATGAAAGACTGATATGGTTTGGGATAGTGTTAAATTTATTCAATAGGCAGTTTATGTCTTCCATTCTTTCGCCAATTACTAAGATATCGTCCACATATCTCTTATAAAGTGACATGTTTCCAGACAAATTTTCCACATGTGCCATAAACACATCTGCTAGTAATGGCCCTAACGGACTACCCATAGGGACCCCATCAATCTGGCGAAAGTATTCGCCTTCAAAATTGAACTGAACTTTATCAGTACATAAAAGTAATAACTCTTTAAGAATTTTTAAGGGAATAGGTAAATTAAGGTTGTTTGAAAATATATAGTCACATAAAATGTCAATAGTCTTTTTAAAGGTACATTTGTGAATAAGGAATTCACGTCAAATGAGCACATAGTTTTTCTTTTGATATTAATGTCACCTAAAAGATCGACCAGTTCAAAAGAATCCTGTAGGGAATACTTACATAAACGTCGTCGAATAGGATCCAATAATTTTGTTAGCCATTTGGCTAGGTTATGTGTGGGTGATCGGCACATTGATAAAATTGGACGTAAAGGAATATTTAATTTATGAATTTTGGGTAGTCCATATAAATGAGGATACTCAGAGCCCATAGGTTTTAAGAAATTAAATTCCCCTTTATCAATAACATTCATGTGTAACAATTTTTCCAGGTATGAATTTACTCTTCCCTCTAGTTTGTTAATACCTCCGAATTCAACATCAGGCATGAATTTACTTTCATCACTGAGGATGGATAACATCTTATTCTTATATTCACATTTGTTCATGATAACCACGCCTGATCCTTTATCAGGCTTCAACAAGACGATATCAGTGTTTGTTCGTAGTTCTTTTAGTGATTTAAAATGTTGAGAAGTTAATATGCTTCTCTGCTTAGGTCCAGCATTATGAAATTGGTGTGTTATATCCACCAGTTTAGCTTTACACCAGCTTTGATTACTTAAAGACATAGGGGTTAGAGTACTCAGTTGGTCATATAGATTTTCAAATTGGGCATTTATTTCCAATTCAGACATTTGTGTTATAGGTACGGAGAAATTAAAACCAAGAGAAAGTGCTTCCTTTTCATTAGCAGATAACAGAATGGAAGATAAATTAGTGACATACTTATCAGGATTAATTGGGAATAAATTATTATGATTAGTATTAATGCACGATTTTTCGAGCTTTTCTCGGATCCTTTCCTTTGTCTTCAAAATGACCGTACTGCAAAAGTTGATGAATTTAATATGGCATATTATAGATATTTCTGTTAATATAGGCAATGCTTGAGTGTGCAATTCGATTAAATTGATTAATTTATCTTGGCAATTATCTATATATGATTTGGACAGTCGAACGAGATTTGAAATATTCGGTTGCAATTTACTTGAACGTAAATTCTTATATAGTTGATTTGGGAATATGT